CGGTGGAACAGCGGCCAAGTCCGGGTCCCGGCCCCACGGGGGCAGCCGCAGCCCCGCGCCCTACTGCGCCGCCCGACGCCGCCTGCTTCTACACCGGGGCGGTGCTGAGGCACCCTGGCTCCCTGGCCTCTTTCAGCACCTGCGGAGGTGGCCTGGTAAGCGCCCTTCTACCCCGCTCTCCACCTTCCCTGCCTGCTGCTCCTCTCCTTGCCCCCACGGAACAGGCTGATTTGCATACACCCCTCCCCTTTCAATGTGTTCCTTCTGAACTTCGTCCCCGTCTGCACCACTCAGGGGTCGACACCGTTTGCCTCCTGTGGATCATCTCCAGGGCAGTCAAGTGAGTTGGAAGTCTAATTGGATGGATAAATGGCCTTCTCCTAGAAGGTTCTGTGTCTTTCGAATACTGTATGAAACTCTGCTTCCTTGTAACTTCTTCCCACCGGTTCAACTTCTTTCTATTCTCCAGGGTTTCCTAAAATAAGCACACCCCCTGATGTCTTTTAGGTTATTGACAAGTCAACCAATCTGCTCACTGCTGAATGTCCTTCATCTTTGCCCTCCCCTCCCCCAGTTCCTCATCTGTTGCTTTACGTTTTTCTCCATGCGCTCCTTCAAAGTTGTCAGAACTTTGAATTCAGAGGGAATTCCACTCTTGACAGCTGTCTAGAGTTTAAACACATCCACAACCATGCTGGACACCTGTTCGCTGTTCCTGTGAAAGACAAGAGCGGGGAGGAGTTTGATTGCAAGGTGGGGGCTGTTGACTCATGGGTGACGTTAGAACCTAATCAGTATTCAAAGGGTTATGGTTCTGTGATTTAACATTTTCTTTTCTAAGGTTTACATTTTATTTGACAATAGTTTCTCTTCTTTTCTTCACTCTACAGAGGAAAGTAGCAAGGTTGAGAACCATGTTAAGAGGCCTGTTGGGAATGGAAAGTAAAAGCCATTTGTTCTGTCAACATAGATCATCATTTGATGTTTCTCCCTTTGTCTTGACTCAGGGTTTGGAAAAGTTGTTACCTCTCATAAGTTGGCCATTACTTTGTGTGTGTGTATATGTGTGGTCACATATACATAGCATAAAATTTACTGTTTTAATCATTTTTAGATGTACAGGTCAGTGGCATTAAGCACATTCACAATATTGTGCAACCATCACCACCATGGCCTTTACTATTGGTTTAAAGCAAAACTCACAAAATATCGAAAATGTCCTTGTGATTTGTGGCTCCATTTTGCTATTCATATAGTGAGCCATTGAGGAAATCTATGGGAACTTATATGGAAGCAACGTGCTCATTTGGAACAAAATCCAACAGCAGTGGATAGCACAAAATATCAGCACAATCAAAGCTGCCCAAAGCCATGAAATGGAAAAGGATGGTTAAAAGTTCAAACTAAATGAAACTGGAAATTTTTACCTATGCCCCGGAAGCTCCCAAATTGAAATGATGTAAATTGCTGGATAAGTCTATATTTTACCAGAGGCTCATACTGATGAATATTCAAATATGGACATTTTTAGGCATGAGTGAAAAAGATTGGCATGGAAAAATTACATGAAAAGCTTTAAAAAATGTTTTTTGTGGAACTGATGCTTGGATAGTTCACTGAGGAAAACATTTTGTAGGGATTTCATTGTCCGCTAGCTTTTGGCTGGGGATTAAGTAATTACATATAGAAAGTTCCTGTTGTGGTAGGAGCGATAGGGGATAAAGCATTTCACTGTGTTGAAATGTGGGCTCTTGGTCAGATTTTCCAAATGAGCTATGCCTTCCTCCATACTTAAGGGAGCAAAGTTAGAATTATAAGTAGGTTTTTCATAGACTGAACAGGGGTTT